CTGACATCACAGGCAATGCTCCTTCCAGAACAACTCACGCTGACTGTGAAAATATCTAATTTTACGGTTGCCTTAGACCATCATCAGACGGGCAGGGCCGGGATCCCTGGGCTGTTTCCGGTATCTGGAGACGCAGGAATAGACCTCGGGCCACCCCTCCCTGCTTTTGCATGCTGAGCTCCGCTCGCAGCAGGAAGATTGGCACTTGGTGGAGTGTGCTTCAGGTGCTTAAAATAGATCAGCTGTGTCATTAGACTGTTGCAAGGCAGTTGTTTCATTGGCCCTGCTGGTGCCGGTGAGGGCAAAAGATAACAGCCCATGGAGAAAGACCGGCGCTTTGCACAAAATTAATCACATGCGAGAAAGCAGCTTTGGAAATGATACAGGCAGTGGAGAGTGGAATTCTGCCAGGAGAGGGGGTGGGTCCGTAGCACCAGCACACGAGCAGTCACCGCGGCCCGGGAGCAACAGGTGGCAACATGGAACTTGTAAGCACCCCTTGTCTGGTTGCCTGGACATCTAGGGAGCCGGGCAAGACCCAGCAGCATCCTCTGAAATCACTGAGGGACCATCCGCACTCTCAGGTAGACACAAAACCAACGTATGGAGCCAACTCCGGTGTCTTCCTGCTGTTCCTCCAATGCCCTGTCCCCAGCATGGTTCAAGTCCTTCCCCCACTCTGGTCACTCTTTCCTGGGAATGCTGCAGGTGATCACTGTCCTCCCTGAACAGAATGCTTCAGGCAGAGCCTGATCAGGGTTCTGCAGGGCCACGTGCTGACCTTCTCCTGTGCACGCAGCTGAAACCACATTTTCCAGCAGCCCACGTTGCTCAGCTGCCTCTTTCTGAACTTGAAATCAACCCCTCTTCCCAAACCTCTTACTCCAAATGAATTATTTGCTGCCCTGGTTTCTTTCAGAGCACCGAGGAAGAATCTGCCCCCTAACAGAAGATATTATGTTGGCATTACCCACTTACTCCAAGCAGGAGCACCCCACAGTGATGGAGGGAAGGTCCTAAATAGCCACATAGGATCACTGCTGGGGCCTTTCAGCAGTCCCTTCTTAGCCGGGTGGCTCCAAACTGGCCTTACTGATACAGAGCTCCCATTGTTGACCAGATGTCCCCAACTGGGCCAGGCGTGTCCTGTAAGACAGAACAATCTCTGGGACAGTTCAGCCTCCCAGGGTGACTTCTTTTGTGCCAGAAAAAGTATCCAGAGCTGGATCACTTATCCAGAATTGCTCTCCTTGGCTCTGTGCCCTACCCCCTACTGCTGGGGTCCCTGAAAACAAAAATGACCTCCAGGAGACGGAGGGGGAGGACATTGTTTGCCCCGTTATTTGCCCAACTAGATCCGACAGGATATGATATCACCCTTCTGAGAATGGGCCTGCTGTGGCAATAGGACGTGCAGCAGGGTTTTGCTCCCTTCTAGAGCACTTTAGTAGCATGGCAGTGTTAATCAGTGGCTAACCCCGGATAGCCTTCCTCTCGTGATCATTAATGGATGCGTTGCCCTTTCCACATCTCTGCGTGAAGATACACTTCTCCATATTACGTGCTGTATGGATCATCTATGGGACTGTGGCGACAAGATGACATAAAAACATTATGCAGTTTTTGGGGAATTGAATAGGAAGTGGTGGTGACTGCACCAAACCAGAGACGCGTGCATGCCCCACCCAAAGCTGGGAACCCTATTGGCTGCCGTCACAAAGAAAAGTAGCGCCAGGGCTGCAAGATCTTCCAGTTTTGTGTTGTTCTTAAGAGAAGCTAGAAATCCCAGTTTTGATGTCCCAATTTCCCACTGATGGTAAATAATTCAAATTCATTAAAAACCTGGTGTAGAGCAGATAAAAGATAGCCCGTTCCACTGGCCACGGGGAGGCACGTTCTGCCCACCTGTGTGAGCCACGACCATGAAGACCACGCCATGTCCTTCTCCAGCATCATGCCCGGTGCAGAGCTGGCGTTCAATAAATATTTGTTGAATGAACAAATGAACAATCCAATTCTTATTCCCACGTTGGACATTCCCAGGAACTAGGCAGATTGAAAACCAATACCATGACTGTAAATTTCCTTACACGATTGAAATACTACAAGTTGCGCTTAATGGCTTGAATAAGTGTGGGGTGAGGAGTGGTTTCTTTTGGCAAACAGAGTGACTGTGGACACGTTAAGTTACCTGTGGTCCTCCCAGGTGGGGACCTTCTATGTGTGAACACATATCTTTAGGTTCTCAGGAAGAGGGTCCACCTCTGCTGGCCAGGAAGGGTAAAGGTAGGGTTTAAACATCAAGACTAGAGAGACAATCTCCGTGACACTTGCATCTAGTAATCAGCTGTCGGAGTCCTACCCCACCCATGGGGAGTGGCTGATACTCAGGGGAAACCAAACCAGAAGGAATTCTTCCCCCTGAGGAGTCATTTCCTCAACAAACTCTATATTATGAATTGAATTGTGTCCCCTTCAAATCTATATGTTGAAGTCCTAACCCTCAGTGCCTCAGAATGTGACCATATTTGGAGACAAAGTATTTACAGAGGTAATCAATTTAAAATGAGGTCATTGGGGTGGGCCCTAACCCAGTGTGACTGATGCCCTTATCACAAGGGGAAATTTGGACCCAGAGACACACAGATAAGGACCATGCCAAGACGCAGGTTGAAGACAGCCATCTCTAAGCCAAGGAGAGAGGTGGAACAGATGCTTTCCTCCCAGCCTTCAGAAGGAATCCTGCTGACACCTTCATTTTGGACACAACCTCCAGGGCTATGAAACAACATATTCCTGTTGTTTAAGCCACTCGATTTATAGCACTTTGTTACGGTGCACTGTTTTAAGCAAATCACAACTAACTTATTTATTCTTGATAGCAACTCTAGGAGAGAGGCACTATTATTAGCCCTCCCTGTCATTATCGTACAGATCAGGAGCTAAGGCACAGAGAAGGTAAGTGACTCACCCAAGGACACACAGAAAGCAAAGGGCAGGGCTAGAATTGAATTTGAACCCAGCAAGCCAGCACCGGTCTGTGCCCTTAAGAACTACAAGAGAAGAATTTACTGGCAAAATACCCAAAAAGTTGAAGGTGCTTACACACTTCTGGTTGTTTTGTGTTCTTTGACAATGGTAGCTGGGGAATGTTGGGTAATAGCCAGTTGTTGACCATTCACAGCAACAGATGCTATCTCAGCAAGATAAAGCTTTTGCCAGATAGGGGAGCCGGAGTTCAGAATTGATGTCACGTCCTTTATGTAATCCAAGCGCTCTTGAAATCACATTGTGATTTTCAGAGATGTGTTATATTCATTTTGCATGATTTAAAAATTGTTCCTTAATGTTATTCCTCTAACTTCGGCCTCCCCCTCCACCCCTTGGCCTCAAGTTATCGTTTGTCAACGACTGCTTCATTGATTTGGGAAGCACTGTTTTTTTTTTTTTTTTTTTTTGCCCGGGCTAGAGTGAGTGCCGTGGCGTCAGCCTAGCTCACAGCAACCTCAAACTCCTGGGCCTCGAGTGATCCTTCTGCCTCAGCCTCCCGAGTAGCTGGGACTACAGGCATGCGCCACCATGCCCGGCTAATTTTTTATATATATATCAGTTGGCCAATTAATTTCTTTCTATTTATAGTAGAGACGGGGTCTCGCTCAGGCTGGTTTTGAACTCCTGACCTTGAGCAATCCGCCCGCCTCGGCCTCCCAAGAGCTAGGATTACAGGCGTGAGCCACAGCGCCCGGCCGGAAGCACTGTTTTAAAACAACCTCTACCCTGGTAAGGAAGTAACCACTTTGTTTGCAAATTTGTTTTGCAAATTTGGAATTTCTCAAGAGAGGGCATTCTCCTGTGTTCTTATTCATAATGGGTCCTGTTCTTAGGGAATTCTTGGAGTTCCTGATCTGGGCAGTGGCATCAGCAGAGGAAAGTCATTCCTGCCCCTTGTGCTGGGTGTCTTCTCTTCTGTCTTCTGAACTCCCTACTGCTCCAGATCCATTCTGCCCCCTCCCCACCCTGTACTGGGCCCTGGGAGGCCGACCTCATGGGGCTATCCACTGCCTTTCTTGCCCTCTGGCTTCTGGTTGGATTTGGCCAATGGGGAGTACCCATAGGAGACCCCAGGGAGGGAGGAAAGAGGGGTCAGGATATTTAAGCCCCTGGTTCTGTCCTTGCAACTGGGCTGGCTGCATCCCTAGAGCCAGGGGCTGCAGGTCCTGTCATGTCCCCTTACCCCACAGCTGGCTGGGTCTCTGTACCCTTCTCGTACTTGTGAAGAGTGCTTTATTTAGTTCCCTCCAAACTGCACATCTGTTCCCACCAGGACCCCGATTGATAGAATCCTCCCTTTCTCCTTCACCCTATAATATACTCAGGTGCTAGGCCAGGTCTTTCTTTCTTTCTTGGCCATGCAGTCTCCTTCCTTCCTTCCTTCCTTCCTTCCTTCCTTCCTTCCTTCCTTCCTTCCTTCCTTCCTTCCTTCCTTCCTTCCTTCCTTCCTTCCTTCCTTCCCTCCTTCCTTCCATTTTGAGACAGAGTCTCACTCTGTTACCCGGGCTAGAGTGTCTAGTTCACAGCAACCTCAAACTCCTGGGCTGAAGCGATCCTCCTGCCTCAGCCTCCCGAGTAGCTGGGACTACAAGCATGCGCCACCATGTCTGGCTAATTTTTTCTCTACATATTTTTAGCTGTCCAAGTAATTTCTTTCTATTTTTAGTAGAGACGGGGTCTGGCTTTTGCTCAGGCTGTTCTCAAACTCCTGACCTTCAGCAATCCGCCCACCTCGGCCTCCCAGATTGCTAGGATTACAGGCATGAGCCACCGCGCCTGGCCACAGTCTTTACTTTCTGAAAGATCTTTTTCCTTATTTCTATTCTTACAACCACCCAAATCCTGGCCCTCAGACCTTTTCTGAACCAGGGCAATTGTCTCTCACTTAGGATCCTAACTTCCTGCCTTGCCCTTGTTGACCTAAGCCATATGCCACGCCAGGCTAATAATCTTCCTGAAGGCTTCCGGAAAGCTGTGGCTTTCCTATGTAGGAAACCCAGCCCAGGCTGCAAGACCAGCAGAACAGGCTAATTTTCAATCCGAGGGCTGGCTTTTATGATGCCATCATTCCAGAACCCTGAGTTACTCAACGGCCAATTCAACTTCAGATTCAGCTCCGCTCGCCGAGACCCAGGGCCAGTGAGCGTCTCAGGGTATTCCACTCAATCCTCACAAGACCCTGCACGCTGGCGTTTATTGCTCACATTTCATACAGGATAACACTCAGGCTCAGAGGCGTGACCTACGCTGTCCAAGAAAGAGTACACGGCGGATCTCGGGTCCGAACGCAGGAATCCGCACCCCAAAGCTCAGGTTCCCAGCGCCCCCGGCCGGGGTCTGCTTACCCCACGACGCCTTTGCGCGGGTTATATGACCCCTCAATACTCTCTTCAGCAAAACAAAGTCCACTCCTAAAAAGTGATTTGTTAGCATGCCATCCATGCCAAAGACCAACGAAGGGGCAGAAAGGCAGGAGGAGGCCTCCGAAATGAGGGAAAATGGTTCCCAGTACGTTGTTCATGCTGGATGGGACGCTCATGAAGCCGCAGCTTCCAGGAGCTCTGCGAGTTCTGATCCAAGTGAGGGACGTGGCATTTTATGAGAAACAGAACTGACTCCGGTGCCCAGGGCCTCTAGCACACTGGGGTAGACCCAGTCTCCCCTGGCTTTGGAACTCCTGGGGCCAAGGCAGGAATGGGAGACACTGACAGGGAATAATCCAAGACTTATCGTTGCCTAAGGACATGCGCGGTAGGTGGGTGGTGGCCCATGGCTTAGGGACTGGGGGAGAGAAAGGAGGTCTCATTCAACTCCTTCCTTGCTCTGTGGGCTTAGGGAAATGGCCAAAGCACAAACCAGAATGAAGAAACGCCCCAGAACGTGTCACGGTCAGGGGCTGCGTGCCACAGCTTTTACGGAGTTTGCTGTCTGGTGGGAGGTGAGCTTCAGTGCAGCGATCGCATGGAGAGTGAGCAATGACAGGGGCCAGGCTCTGAGCGGACAGGGCCGGGGTGCCCTGGGATCGTGCCTCAGGGACATGAGAGCTGGGCTGGGGGCCAGGGAGGCTGCAGGTCCGGAGGGTGGGGAGGCCGGCCCGGGGGAAGCGGGCTGGGGGGAAAAGGCTTACTAGGAGGAAGGAGCAATACCTGCAGTGTTGGCGGGAGCAAGGCTGCAGAGGGAATGGGAGGAGGCGAGTGTGACCAGGACTGGGAGAATGGCGCAAGGTAGACCAGACGGGGCTGGTGAGTGAGGCCAGGGCCAGGCCGAGTGTGACCAGGACTGGGAGAATGGCGCAAGGTAGACCAGACAGGGCTGGTGAGTGAGGCCAGGGCCAGGCCACACAAGGCCTTGCTGAGGCATTTCCTCTCTCGTCTCAGACGATGGGATCCACATTTTAAGCAGAGCGCGATGCAGCCGGTGGACATGGGAGAAGGACTGGAGGTGGCGGGGGTGCGTGAAGGGAGAGCAGTCAGGGCTGCCTCAGTAGGCCAGGAGGCAAATGGCAGAATCAGGCTGGGAGCTCGCAGAGTAAAGAAAGGCTGGATGGGGGAGCCACCCCCATGGCAGGCAAAGAGGCAGGGACTGGCCTGTTTCCTTCCCTTCCTCCAAAGTCCTTCACCCAAGGGAAGGCAGCGACATGAGCCCGGGCCTTCCTGAGCTTTGGGTGCGCTGCTCATGCCTTGGGGTCTGTTCCCTCCTGGAGGAGCCCTCTGTCCCCTCCCTCACCGACTCGGAGGGCCTGCCGCCACCGGCTGTGTTGTACCCAGGTCTGCCTAGCGCCCCTGCTCCATCATCTCCCCCATTACCTCCTTCTCTCAGGTTCCTGATTTTTGGTGTGCTAAAGCCCAACTAGATTTCAGAAGAAAAAATTCCGATGAAACTAAAATTTCCACTGTGGAGTCACTGCCTGAGCATTCTGCTGTTTTTGTCATCTGAGAAATGGGATTTTATTCATAAAAACAATTTACATAAGTTTACAAAGCATTCCCTCATCATCCCATTTAATCCTCAAAAATCACACTCCAGGTACGCTTCCCCATTCATGACGAAGGTGTAACGTCCGAGAGGTTGAATAACCTGCTTGCTACTGTCATAAAGTCAGCAATGACAACAGCCACACTGACCACCACGGTGACCATGACAGCGTGACCACCCCATGACTGACATGATCCCAGCCATGGCCACAGCTAAGGTCCACACTCCACATTTGGTCTCCATTCCAAGCTAATGTACATCTATATCATCATTCCCATTTTTGTAGATGAGACAATCCTGCTGGAGATCACACATCTAATAAGTGAGAAAAACAGAACTGGAACCCGGAGCCGTCTGATTCCAGGGCCTGAGCTCTATCAACCCTTATCGCTGCCAAAAGACCACAGGCTTGAGCTGCTCTTCTCTGGATGAATTGATGGGGAGTTTCTTACACAGTTGGCCCTTGAACAACATGGGTTTGAACTGCATGGGTCCGTTTATATGTGAATTTTTTTTCAACTAAACACGGATGGAAATTACTGTATTCAGGGTATTCAAATATGGAGGGCTGATTTTGCATATATAGGTGGGTTCCCCAGGGCTGGCTGCGGGACTTGAGCATGCTCGGATTTTGGTATAGGTGGTCGTCCTGGAACCAATGCCCTGTGTATACCGGGGCAGGCTGTGACCTCATGCTTTGCCCACTTCTGTGTTGACATCTGAACCACTGATTAGGAATTGCTCTCCCTGTCAAACATGCTATACATCCAAGTACCTTTCCCAGTCTAACAACAACTGCATGACCTGAAGAACTCACTGAACATCATCTATCAAACTTTCCCCTATAAAACTGGAGCAATAATACTCATCTCTCAGGTTGGGTGGGGGAGTCTGTTGAGATCGGGAAGGGAAGTGGGTAGCCCGGTGGCTGGTGGAGAGTAAGGACCAAATAAGTGGCAGTGAAAGAAAAACTAAGGGAGGGCTCCTGTTAGGGACAATATCAGGGATGAGCATTGAGTTAAGAATTCCACATCGCAAAGGGGAGCATTTTTTGCCTCCTGCCAGCGCCCAGTCCCTACGACCCTATGAGCTGTCCCTCCTCTCCTTGTGAGGCCTGATGTCTACTCCATTGGCAGACGGGGGGTTGGGAGGAACCTCAACGATGCCTGAGTCCAGCCTCCAACCCTAAGTTCCAGTCTCCTCACAGTGTCCCCAGGCACCCGTTTAGAGAAGCACTTCCTCTCCGGAGGGACTCAGGCTCCCCACGCCGCCCCGCCACTCTGCTGTGTTCATTTGCCACCACTCCTGAAAAGTACACACGCCCTCCCTGCTTAGAAGCAGTCCCTGAGGCTGGAATGGCACCTTGCCAGCTCTCACCTCATCTTCTGCAGTATCCAATTCTATTGGTCATTATTTCTTATTAAAAAAAAAAAAAAGGGCAATCTCTGTTCCTTCTTTTAGGAATGCTCAGTGTTGCTAACAGGACAAGACTTCCTTTGGATTCCAGAGAGAGAAAAGGGCAGATTCAGTTGCTTGTTTCCTTTCTTAGTTCCTTGAAAAATAGATGAGCCATCTCTCTCTTCTGTCACTTAGTGGGAAAGGACTCCCAGAAATACATCTTTTTCCTAGAGATAGTGAGAAGTGACAGGCAATTCACATCTTTATTTGCCTGAAAACATGCAAATGCAAACATGTGGCCTGCTAGGTGACAGGGTCTACAGGATTTTGCTCTTTTCCTGAGCCTGGTAATGAAGCCAAAACACCATTCCAGCCCGTCAAATCAAGAGGCAAAATTCTTCGGCTGGAAGAGGCAGAGGGAGTCCAGCCACAGTTGCTTGCTTAGCATAGATATGCAATACACAAAGGAATACAGCAGAGATGAGTCATACAAATACATAGTAAATAAATATATTTCATTTCCATCTCAGTGGCTTTTGCTTTGCTTTTTCTCTTCTCTATGCCAACGGCCTTGAAATGGTGTGTGTGGGTGGGGGGAGTGGGGAGGAAATAGTGGGTTTTGGCTGGACACAGCCTCAGTAAGGTCCTGATATTTCTGGTTTTATTGCTCAGCTCTAGCTTTTTTTGGGAAAAAAACTTGTAGATTCTTAGATTAGAAGGGTTTCTAGTTCAACCCCTATCATTTTACAGATGAGCAGTCTGAGCAGTAGGGGGGGGGTGATAACAAAGTCATAGACCCAAGGAAGTGTATGTTTGTGGGTTCCTGGGGTTCCACAGTCCCACCTGATGCTTAGGTGACCTAGACAGGCTAAGCTGGCGAGAGAGCGGGGCAGTGAGACTTGAACCCTGACCTGCCTCCCCGGGCACTGCCCAGGCCACAGCACCCCTGCTGGTGCCCGTGGTCAAAAGGACTACATAGAAGAGAAACAGACTGTGCCTCCTTGTACTTCTGACTGCATTCTCTGCATTTTGCCGAGGCCCAACCTGGCAGCAAAATGTCTGGTCCTGGCTCTGCAAGCCGTTGCTGCCTCTGGCATGTGAGAGCCCTTGGCCATAGGGCTGTTCCTTTTCTCTTGTTCTCAAGGATGGATAAGCACCCTGCAGGTATGTGGAGAAATCAGCCCTGGGCCCACTGGGCTGCCCGGGGGGGATAGAAGCTGGATCTTTCACAATCTCTAGATCCAAAGGTGGCTTCATGATGATTTGTTTATTAAACTGCTGTTTCCCATCCCGCTGCCTGCCCACACCCACCAGCCGGCCAGCCGGCCAGCCCGCCCGCCTGCAGGCCAGCCGCCCTGCTCTCCCAGCTCCGGGACAAGCAGGGCCCTCCGAGGTGCTCCGCACGTGTGGAGGGAGGTCTCCTCAGAGCCCCCGCAGCCAGACAATGGCCACACGACTGCTTCCTAGGCCTTCCCAGGCATTGCTAGAAGGAGACGAGCAGCTTTCCCAGCAGAGGCAACTGGCGCCGCTGATAAAATATTGGCAACATGACCAGGAGAAGCCAGACCCCAAAGCTGTCCCTCTGCCGGGGAGCACCGAAAGCACCCAAGAGGAGTCCGGGGGTCATCTGTCCAGCCGGCGACGCCAGGCTTCCTTCCTCCTCCCAGGCAGCCCCAGCAGCGCAGGCTCCTGCACCTCCCGCCCCCACCCCTGTTCCCATGGCAAAGGAGAGGAGGATCCACTTACTGCTACTGTTCATGGTGATGTCTTCGCACTGGGTCTTTCATTCAACACGGAGGCCCGGGCTGCTTTCTAAATCTTCCGTTCTTGGAACCGCACTCATCACCTGGGGGTGAAAAGGCAGTCCGGCGCCAGCTCTGTATCCTCAGGTGCTCTCTGCCTCCGCTGTCCCCTGTCCGCCCGGGCTGTGGCCACCACCGGCCTTGAAGGCGACTGGACTAACAGGCGCAGGTGTGAGCCGGGAGGAGGAGGAGGAGGAGGAGGGGGAGGACCCGGGCTCCCCGGTCCTCCCGCCCCTCAGCCCCGAATCCCGGGCAGGAGCGGGGCCGGCGGCGCCTGCTCGCGCGCACCCGGGACTACTCCAGCCCAGCGGCTCCGGAGCCCAAAGGGGGTGTGGACCACGGGGAGGCAGGGCGGGGGCAGCGCGTCCCCGCCCGGCCTCGGGGGCAGCGACCCGCCCCGGGACCCACCTCTCGGCCAGCGTCGGGAGCCAGAGGCCCCTGCCCCGGCCCCTGCGACCGGTTCATGAATCCTGGTCCTCGCCGGGGGTCTCGGATTGCAGGGCGAGCGGAGCGAAATGGGAGAGCTCGCCATCCATGATGCGGGCTCGCGGGCTGGCGGCGGGGGGCGCGGCTGCTCGCTGCCGCCACCTGCCGGACGCGCCGGCGCGTGTCCGAGGCCCCGCCCCGCTGGGCTTCAGCCTGGTCCCCGGGTGTGGTGGACGGACCCGCGTGCTGGGACCTGCAAGGGGGTGCTGGGGCGCAGTGTTTTCCCTCCCTCGGTCTCGGGGCCCACGGGCTGGACGATGGGGAAAGAAACTTCACCGGGAGGGGCTGTGAAGGCAAGACCGGCTTTGCAGCGAGACAGGTTCCCCCCAGCCCCGCCGCGGGCGAGCTCGGTGCAGTCTAGTCCTGAGCAGGTGGGGGTCACGGCCGTCTCTGCCTCGCCCTCCTCGCTGCAGGATGTGGCGGCCGCACAAGGGGATAAGACACCGGGGACTCCTCCAGCCTCCCAACTTCCATGTCTCCTGTCACCGACTCACCCGTCGGAGTTGTTTATCGCCTCCCTTCCCCGCTAGAGGGTGAGCGCCCTGGAAGAGTGGGCCCTGACGGTCAGCAGGTTCGCTTCCTGGCCCCCGGTACCCAGAACGGTGCCCGACACGTAGGAGGTATCAGTAAATACCTGCTGGCACAGTGACCCAGGTCTTTTCTGCATCTAATATTACGCGGGCCTAAGAATAGACGGCCTAGGCACCCCCGCCTGAAACGCGGCCCCAGCTGGGAACAGCAGGGGTGGCCTCAAGACCCAACCACACGGGCCCACCCCAGTGTTTGTGTGGTCAACTAATTCTTGCCCCAAAAGTATTTTTTTTTTTTTTTGTAATTACTTCTTATAGGGGTGTCTTGTAGAAATTGATACTTTGGATATTTGTGGTCACAACTGATCCAGTGGGGTGGGGCTCTTTACATTCCTGTGACTGCTTATCCTGTGACTCTATGAACCTCATTCATGGTCACAGGAGCATTACTTTTCAGTGCTGAAAAACAAGACGGAGAGGACACACGATCCCTGCCTATATAGAATGACTCCAGTTAGAGCGTGTGTAGATCAACAAGCTGTGAATACTCACACCCTCAACTTATGGACAAGGAAGCAGTGCCCAGGACAGCGTTTTGGGGTGGAACAGGACCAGATCTCCCCACTTTAGTGTGCTCATGTATGAGACCGACTTAGCGCACTGGAGTCTGACATGTCAGGGTAAGGTTGGGTAGCCACCCTCTTTTTAAAACTGGGGAAAGCACACCTTTTAGATAAATATGATGTTTCTACCTTACACAGGGTGGAAAGAATTGATATGGCTCATGACCCTAGGACGTGATAGCAATTAAAGAGTCTTTATTTATTTCCAAGAAAGAGTCTCACTCTATTGCCTGGGCTAGAGTGTTGTGGCGTCAGCCTAGCTCACAGCAACCTCAAACTCCTGGACTCAAGCGATCCTCCTGCCTCAGCCTCCCGAGTAGCTGGGACTACAGGCATGTGCCACCATGCTCGGCTAATTTTTTCCATATATTTTTAGTTGTGCAGCTAATTGCTTTCTATTTTTAGTAGAGACAGGGTCTTGCTCTTGCTCAGGCTGGTCTCAGAACTCCTGAGCTCAAATAATCCTCCTGCCTCAGCCTCCCAGAGTGCTAGGATTACAGGCGTGAGCCACCATACCCGGCCTAAAGAATCTTTAGATAAATCGAGGATATATGGACTTGAAACACATTTCAAATTTTGATTACTTATTAAGATTTTTGTCTAATGGAATGGGGACAAAAATAGCCCCAACTTCCTCACTGTGGTTCTCAAAGTTTTGTAGGTATAACAAACACCTGAGAGACCTGCAAAAACTCAGATTCCTGGGCTCTGCGTTCCCTCACTCAGCATTGTAAACAAATATTTCAGGTGATTCATAGACAGCTCTTTGCTATTGAAAAGGGCAGAGGCCTAGAACAGCTTTGAAAACATACTAAATGATTAATAAATATTAAAATTATTTCAAAAGATCACTTTAGATACCACCTACGTTTTCAGATTGAGATTCCTTATTCAATCCCCAAGTTGTAGGTAACTTGCTGGATTCTAATGGCCAGAAAAAGTTATTTTTCTGGGAGAAAGTTCAGATAAATTAGATAACATAAAATTAACAGGACTATCCCATGAACATATTTAGTTATCACCCAAAGCCTCAATGTTCAGAAAATTTCAGATTACAAGACATAGTCAAATAAAAGCATGATATTGACTTATTGATCTTTTCACTCAGCAATTATTTACCAGGTGTCTGCTTTGTGCTTGGCCGTGTGCTGGCTGCTGTGGCTACAGTGGTGGGCAGGACAGACAAGGACTCCACCCTCACGCCGCACACATCCAATTTGGGGGCACCAGGGAGACGATTATCTGAGCAAAACATGAACTAGGGAAACACGATGGTTTCCCTAAACAGCTAGTGCTGTTTCCAAGCCTAGCTGACTTTTAATGCCAGCCCCGTGGCTTACTAGCTGCAGGACCTTGGGCAAGAAACTCAGCCTCCATAAGCCTCAAATTCTTCATCTGTAAAATGGGCACAATGACGATACTACCTTTTGGATTGCTGTATGTATTAAAATGCTTAGTGTAATGCATGGTAAATAAAGACTTGATGCATGCTAATTATCAGTATCATCCCTCACTTAGTGTGCTACCTTCAGTGACAATGCTGTCATTTTCTACTTATGGAGACCAGTTGGGCTCTTCCATAGAGCGGTGGGCATGAAAATGTGCCTTAGAACTTTCCAACTACAGGGAGCTTAATTGACCAGTTCTTTTTGTCTAGGTTTTTTTTTTTTTTTAAGTAATGCATTCAGATGGCTGCTGATGAAATCAGCTCTTAGGAGAGACCATTGGAACTTGGACCACTCTAAAAGGCTTTAGATAGCTTATGTAGGGGAAACAATCTTATTTTCCCTGCAGAGTTATAAGGATAGGGAGAAAAGGGTTAAAAGAAGCTAAAAAAGCTACGCCCGTGAGGATGTGCACAACAATCGGAGGCAGTGGGAAAGGCGCACGAGGAAGCTGGGGGTGGGATTCTCTGCGGCTCGGCTGGGAAAGTCATCAGGACAGCGGGGGGACGCAGTTGGCTCTGTCCTCGTAGGAGAATGGGGCTGAGAGCCATGGGGCAGAGGATCCCTTTGTTTGGAAGTTTGTTTTGAACGATGAGGCTCCAGAATGGAGACAAACAAGTCCCACTCGGGAACTGGCAAATGCTCCTGGTTATTGGAAAACCATGTGGGGAAACCATTGGGAGACACATTTTCTAACCTCTTAGGGGGGAAAGAGGAAAGCTTTGGGGGCCAGCTTCACCATGGCCGTGGCCTCGCAGGCTGCTGCTGGGCTGCCTTTCCTGGGCTTCCCCTCCACCAAGAGCTCCCATCTTTCCTGACTTCCTGTCCCTAACTGGGGTCATCGCCAGCTCTCCTTGCTTTGTGTCCTTTTATTGCCCTTATTGACCCACGCAATCCCCAGCCCCTGACTTTTCCTCTCCGGTTGCCTTTCTTCCATCCCCAGCTTACACTCCTCCCTGCCCCCTCCTCACCCTACTCCTGTTTCTCCCTGCCATTCCTAGCTATTTGAATCTCTCTCCAAGAGTGACTTCTTTTTATTTTTGAAGAATAATAGTTGTTAACAACATGAGATCAATCTACGTATGGTGGGGGGGGAGGATTTTCATGGTATGTGATTAAATAAAAAAAAGAAAATTGCACAAAAATATATACAATACGTTCTTTAGGGTAATGTATATATATGTATATAACATCTATACGGCATATGTGTTATATGTAACATATAATACTCAAAATATGTAGAACATTTAGAATACACATAATGTAAAATAGTTAATCATTTTTCCACAAATGTGATTTCATATAGATATCACATATACATACATGCTTATAGATATTACATATACATACATGTATAATGCATAGAAATTACACACTCCTAATTACTAGGCTTTTGGATCAGGGTAAATTTCTGGATTATGTAGGTTTAATAAAACCGCTTGTACAAGTTCAAGATGGGAGAGATGTTGGCAGACATTTGGAGAAGAACTAAGGTATTCTATGTTTCTTTTTCCTTCTTTCTTCCTTTCTTTCTCCTTTTTGTAGAGACAGGGTCTTGCTATTTTGCCCAGGCTGGTCTCAAACTTCCAGGCTCCAGGGATCCTCCTGCCTCAGCCTTCTGCAGGTGTGAGCCACCACGCCCGGCTTTCCTTCATTTTTTTTTGTTGTTGTTGTTCATTCATTCGTTTGATTATTCAACAACTTCTGATTGGGTGTCTCTTCTGTGCCAGGCACTGAGCCTGGCAGAAACATGGAGAAGAGACAACACATGAATGAACACTCAGATTTGGGATTACGGTCAAGAAAGTGCGTGAAGAGGGACGGGGATGGGCACTAGCAGAGCGGCCTCTACCTGGACAGGGGCGTCTGAATGGAGGCTGGAGAAGGAGGAGCAGCCATGCCCAGAGCTGGTGTGGGGTGAGGGGAAGGAGCAGGTGCAGAGTCAGGGTTCAAGGGGAGGCAGGACTGGATGCCACTGACGGGTCTGACGACTTCTTCGTGGAAGAGCTGAGTGCGGCGCGGGGGGTCATGGGAAACCACGTTCTCAGGGTTCAGAGGCCTGGGGTAGAAATGGTTCTCCTGGGCTGGGAGGTCAGGAATCCAGGTCACAGGCCCTGCTGCAGCAGGCTGTGAGGAAGCCAGAGGCAGTGGGATAAATGGTCTGGATTAGAGTCCTGGCTCTACCGTGTACAGCTGTGTGATCTTGGACAAGTGACTTAACCTCTCTGAGCCATAGGTTCCTCGAATGTACACAGGGCTCAGCACCGGCCTCGCTGGGAGCATCATCAGCAACAACAGACAGAACAGGCGCAGCTCAGCCTCAGGCATCTAGTTCAGAACTCCTGACCTCGAGCAATCCGCCTGCCTCGGCCTCCCAGAGTGCTAGGATTACAGGCGTGAGCCACTGTGCCCGGCCTCTCAGGCATCTAGTAACTGCTCAGTTCACGTTAGCGATTCTTTGCCTCGAAATAACCTACCTGACTGCTTAAGTGACCCTCTCTTGGCCCGAGTCTTCATATTTAGAGATGGACCATTGGACAAGATGGTCACTGAGGGTTCCTTTTACTCCAAAGCTCTTGGCTCTAAGTACCCGCTAAGCATCCCGTGTTTGGAGTTGGGCAGAAGATCTGGCTGTGTTCTAGATTCGAGTGGGGACCCTGTTCCCCCAGGAGCACCACTGGATTGTGCGGAGCCCCAGGCCCTGAACAAAGAACAAAGGACATCCTGCAGGGCATGGTGCTTTGCACGGTGCTCCCTACCTCCATGTCTGTCCTCCCTTTCCTCCTGGGAGGAGCCCTGGATCCCAGCTGGCATTGGCAGGACTCAGACCTGGTTTTCCGGCTGAAATAGCTTTGATGGGGCCATGAATTTTCTCTTGTTCCTCACCTTGTTTTGTGAAGAGATGTTTAAAAAAAAAGTGGTTTTCAACATCCCTGGGAAGATTCTTGGAGGAGCAAAGGGACTGGTTTGGGGGTCGCAGCGCTGGGGGCCGCAGTACAGGCTGCAGGGGAGCGCCAGGCAGAGGGCCCCGCCTCCCATCCGGCCACAGCCCGAGCCTCCTTCCTGATGATGGCCACTCTTCCAGCAGAAGGCAGGAGCTGGGCTGCAGTCAGTAGGAACTGGGGAGAGCCGAGAGCTGGGCTCAGCCCTGCCGCTTGCTGGGCTGCCCTTCCCCAGGCCCAGCTCCGTGTCGGTAGGACCCGCGTGAAAGGAACGCCAGGGAGCACTCCGCAGTCCCACTCCTCCCCTGCGCAGGTTAGGGGCTGAGTGTGGCTCATGGTTCACCAGCGTTGCCTTCTCTGCCTTCCGCTCTCCTGCTCCTCCTGCTCGCGGTGCCCGCGTCTGCTGTTCCCCTGCATGAGGCTGGTGGCTCCCTCCCGCTGCCTCCAGTCTCGTCTTCCTGAGTCAGTGCTCGGAGCTCCTCGCACGCTGATGACCCCCGTCAGTCACTAAGGGGTCACTTGACCTCAGGTCTCCACTCGCCCCTACCCCTCGGCTCGCTGAGCGGGGGAGAGTCCCTGGCCTTCCAGTGAGTCTGTCCACCTTGGGAACTTTGTAGTCACGCTTCCCTGCGCCTGCTTTGCTCTTCTGTTTGCAAAGCTGGAACCGCCTCATCCTCTAGGTCTTGGCTTAACTGCCGCTCTCTGGAAAGGCCTTCTTCCATGACCAGTCTAGCTAAAGTGTCCTGGATAGCAGCTTTAATTAACCAGTGAAGTAAACGCCTTTCAGACAACATGGTCTCATCTTAGTGTTCAGTTACTTAACTCCCACGTCCGCTTCCCCCAAGCTTGGTTCTCTTCCCTCTTTATTCTCTTGGCTCTTTAAGACCTAAATCCTGCCTCTGGGTAGGGTCTTGCAGTCAGTCCTTGAGCGTCTGCTGAGGACGCCCGGCTCTCCCGGTGCGTCAGGGTTACGGACGGGTCTGCACAGCCAGGCAACAGGGAAGCCCGGTGCTCTCCCCTGCAAGATAAAAGAATTAGGAATCAGAACATCTGGGTTCCACGTTTGCCCTCGCTTCCTAGCTGTGCGACCTTGGGCAATCAGTTAATTATCAGTGCCTCAATCTATTCCGCTGTAATGAATAACGGCATTCACTGCTCATTGTTATGTATTGTAATGATCCCTTTTTGGAGTAGATCTCAGGGTTGTTCCAGGAATGACACAAGGAGCCTTGTGGGCTTTGTAAACTAAAGAATATGTAAAGTAGGTTGTAGTTACTTTTCCTCCATCTCATTACAAGTCAGTGATCCAGCCTCAGGCGTTCACACAGAATTTGCAGAAGGCAAAGTCATATCCCCTAATTTCCAGGAAGGGCCTGGGAAAGGGCAGGCAGGAGCCAATGGCTGCATGTGCGTTAGTCATTTCCCCAGGAACGCCCCATGGCCTAGGGTGGCACACTGCGGCCTCGACATGTTGCAGTCCACAGCGATGCCCTCCTGCCAACATCCTGTAGCTTCCGAAAGGGCATCGCCCCTCTACCTGTGCTCGGACCCCACAGGTTTAATGCCTGAAGTCACAGAGTGGAAGGGTGCAAGAAAGAGTTCTTAGAGTTCATCGAAAACCAGGTTCCTCCTTGCACAAGTTCCAGGGAAGTTGGGAACTGGCTGAAATCATGCAGCGATTCCATGAGCGTGGTGCTTAGAAATCCCTGCAATCAATTCAGTTTCCGCTTGTGGGTTGCATCTGAGAGCAAAGTCCTCCATCTACCATAGCGGAGCACTCACAAAAGGGGACAAGGAGGAGATTTCACTTCAGCATTTCTCATGAGACAAAAAGAATCGGAAATGGTCTAAATGACAATTCACAGAAAGTTAAACGGTGGCACATCATACCAAGGAATGTAACACAGCAATTAGCCAAATGGGGTGGGTGTTTACGTAGTACCCTGGATAGCTACTCCAGACTTACTGCTTGGTGAGGGATGCATATAAAGACATAAGAAATGGTCCGGAAGGATATTCACCCAACTGATAATAATAGCAGGCCAGAGGTGGGAACTGACAGGAAGATGGAATCAGAGGAGAGGTGTCTAACGGGACATTAGCCATT